TAGATCTGACTCATAGTGATTCTCCTGTTTACAGCCTCCTAAGAGCTGGGATTGCAGGCGTGTGCCCTCACATCCAGTCTCAACTGCCCTCCCAGGGAGCCCCAGGGGCAGAGTCAGTACAGCAGGCCCAGGGACCGCAGCCCTAGGACCTGCTTGCAGGTGCTTTAATCTGCTGAGCTATTTGGCTGGCCCAACAGATACATTCTTTTTTTTTTCCTGCTTTAAAGATTTAATGTAATCTCAATCAAAATAGCAATAGCATAACATGAATTAAAGCTACTGTAATAAAAACAGCATGGTACTGGCAAAAAATGAGCAAGCAAGCAGATAAATAAGGAAGTAAACAACAGATCCAAGAATCAATGCAACAGAGAAGATGCAGAAACCACCCCAAGCACACTTAGCTACCTTGTCTTTCACAAGATGCTAAACACTTTCATTGGAAGAAAGATAGCCTCTTTAAACAATGATGCTGGAAAAATTGGCTTTCCACATGCTGAAGATTAAATGTAGACCCATTTCATTCGCCATGTACTACACTAAAATTGAAACAGATCAAAGATCTAAATATTAAAATAGAAACAATCTCAACAGATACATTCTTAAGGAAGTGGCTTAAGTGATTTATGTGGAAGGGACGGTGGTGTGAAAATGTAGGTTGTAATAGAAACTGCAAATTGTTAGAGTGACTATAAATTTACACTCTGGCAGCAGTTCCACACATAGCAAGTTCTTCCAGTAGTCCTCTCGGTACATTTCTGTCCTGGCCTGCAGATATTATCAGGTGCTCTAATTGTTTTCTAGCTGAAAATGACATCATGTTGTGGTATAATTTGCATGTCCTTAATAGATGGTTTCTCTTTCCACTCATTCCTCCTCTGCAGACTCTACTCCACCTCTCCAGTCCTTTTTCAAGGCCTTTTTGCTTTCTTGTTTATTCCTAGTTCTCTTGATAAACACAGGTGGGAAAGATTGGAAAAAAATAATTTACCTTCACAGACTGGAATCTTTGCTTCTTTCTAGTAAGGCTGGAGAAAAGCCTCTGCCAAAGGCTACACTTAAGGCATTTGAGCTAGAGTGCAGTAATTCAAACTGGATGGCATTGAGAAAAAACATTTTTACTGGAAAAATCAAGATTCAAATGGGATTTTCCAAAAGTCAGTATGCTGAGATGATTATAAATAATATTTGTAGTTGTAACCACTCTCTTTTTCTGGTTATTCTGTTCTCAGTATAGTTGGTTTCTTTTTTTTTTTTTAATCATTTATTGGTTTATTTTGTCTCTACTAAACACATTAGTCATTCATCATTTAAATATCTGACTTCATTAGAAACCATTTTAACATTTTTTTCTCCCTCCTGCCATAAAAATACAGTAAGTAATTTTCTTTTTTAAAAAAGCAACTATGAACAGCATTCTGGTTTCCTCTCATTCTTCCGTTTCTTAGAGACAGCAGTTTGTAAATCCGTGAGACAGTAGGCTAGAGACTGAAATTCA